ATTTCGATGTACTGGCGCCCATCGTTCTCTGCCATGGTCGACCCAGGTCCTCCAACGAACTTGACATCTCAAAACATTGGGTATAATCTCGCAAGGCAACAGGTGGCTAGGTCGCTTGCGGGGTGTGGCTCTTTGCGGCACCAGTCTCTGGATTCGATTTCGGGTGCTGATGTCGGGAGGCACAGTCGGAATGAGCGGTGTCGCCGGAAGTTCTAGGATCTTGGAGCTCAACCGCGGATGACGAAATACAGTCGTGTAGATGGAGATGAGTGGAGCTGAGCTGAGCTGACCGAGAAGTCAAAAGAAAGGTTATTCGAAAGTTGACCTTCTGCCCAGTGGCCCCGAGACCAACTGAGTTTTCGATAAGTACGACCGTGCAACAGCAGAGAGCAGGCTCTGGATATCTCGGGGAGTGCTTGGAGGGGCACCTCGAGACACGCGAGCATCGATGTTTATTCGCACATGCAGTGCTCCAGCGACCAACTACAGTGGGACTACCTCACCTCCTCCCGTGGGAGATGGAGGCTCTTATCGCGACCCTGGTCAGGACCCTTGTGACGCGTTATCGTGCTAGTTGCTCGCCCAGTGGACCCAGCCTGCTGAGGGGCTTGCTGGATCCCCTATTCTTGGGTGGCCAGGCTCTGTATTAGTCACCCCCCACCATCGAAGATTCCGGCACACTCAGAGGTAAAGGGGACCATGTCCTGTGGCAACTGGAGGCTCAATCACAAGGCGGGACGATGAAATTGAGCATGTTCAAGTCATGTTGAACGAGTATGGCTGCTGACACCCTGGGGTAAGGACGAGTATGTGCTTGCGCCGTGAGCGTGTCTATTTTCTTGGATCCCCTACTCTGAAAGGTTCCGGTCATGTCAAACACTCATCTTGACGTGGATATCTCAGTTCCTCCTTCCTCCGTCTACCTGGTCAGGGCAATGTCATCAATTCTCAGGATCAGCTTCACCGTCTCTGCCGCGAGCTCGATAGCGCTCGTGCAAACGAGCAGCGGCTGCAGCACGTTCTCCTTCGAGATGTTAGAGTTGACACCGCCCGACTTGATGCTCACACCCGCGTTCCTCTCGCCAAGCTCATGGCGGTGACGCAGGTCAGTGACAACCTTGATGCTGTTAAGACCGGCGTTCTCGGCCAGCGTCGTGGGGATGACCTCCATGGCGTCGGCAAAGGCCTTCCAGCAGATGGCTTCTGTGCCGGTCAGCTCGCGAGAGCGCTTGGAAAGCTGCGCAGCGATCTCAATCTCAGGGGCACCACCACCGGCAATGAGGGCCTTCTTCTTGACCAGGCAGCGGACAACGCAGTGAGCATCGTGCAGACTGCGCTCAGCCTCATCAAGGATGAGGGAGTTGGCGCCACGCACGACAACGGACACGGTCTTGCCGGTCGCCTTGGCGCCAGAGACCTTCACCATGCGGGCTCCGTTCGACTGCACCTCCTCAACGAGATCGGCCGATCCAAGCTTGTCCTCGGTGAAGGAGTCAATGTCGGCAATGGGCTTGCAGCCGGTCGACTTGCAGATGAACTCAACCTCGTCGCGCTCAATATCCTTGATAGCCATGATGCCGAGCTTGGCGAGGAAGTGCAGGGACAGGTCGTTAAGAGCATCGCGGAGAATGGACTTCTGGATGAAGAGAACGTTGCACTTGGCCTTCTTGATCTTCTTGACCATGTTGAGGAGGTAGACACGTTCTTCCTTGACAATCTTGTCCATTTGACGGTAGTCGTTAACAGAGATTGTGTTCTCCATCTGGAAGAGGGTCAGCCGAATGTTCGCGCGTCCACATGTTCAGGGGTCAACTTACGTCAGGCTTGGGCGGGCTCAGTTGGAACTGAATGAGGCCGATCCTGGCCTTCTCAATTCGCGCCGGGCCGCCAGCACCCTTCATGACCGGTTGTGTCAAGACCAGTCCATCGACAAGCTCGCTGTCTTCAATTGTGCCTCCGACCTTCTTGATTATCCTGATGTTCCTCAAATCCACGTTGTCCGCCGTCTTGAGGTCGATAGTCTTAATGACCGAGTTGACGGCCATGGGACCGAGGAGATTCGTGTATTGCGACACAATCTTGGAGGATAGAGACGTGTTCGCGGCCTGCAGCAGGGCGGATGTGTCGGTGAGGGAGATGGGCTGGGACATGTCGTGAAGCACCTCGACGGCCGCAGCTGCCGCCCGCTGGAACGACTCTGAGATGACTGAGGGGTGGATGCCCTTGGACAGAAGCCTGTCAGCGGCACCCAGCAAGCTGCCACAGATGACAACCACTGATGTCGTTCCGTCACCAGCCTCAACATCCTGGGCAGCAGAGAGGTTGACCAGCATCTTAGCCGTGGGATGCATGACCGACATGCTCTTGAGCATGGTGTTGCCGTCGTTCGTGATGATGGTCTCGCCCCTTCCGCTTCGGATCATCTTGTCCATACCGCGAGGACCCAGCGAGGTCCTGATCGCATCGGCGACAGCTGAGCGCTTGGTCAGCAAGGCAAAGAGAGCTTGGTGAGGAAGGGGGGGAACTAACCTCTGGCGGCGACAATGTTGGATGATCGTACGGCGACAGGCTTCTCCTTGTCCTTTCATGGTGTTAGTTGCTGCTCCTGTGGCTCCGTTCATTACGTAGGTCGTAATTTAGAGGAGGAGGGGGGAGCTCCTTATGCTCACCTTGAAGGCAGTGTTAGAGTTGGCCCCCGCGGAGGGACCTGCAGAAGCTGTTGTCGCCATTTGTATCGTCCGGTATGTGCTTGTCTATTTGCCGAAACCGTGTGGTGGAAAGCTGTTTCGAGAGCTAACAAGTCGTTGGGCGTGAGCTTTTTCGTTGATGCTGTGTCCCCGCTGTCGCCTTGCTACAGCCCACTATCCTCCCCTTAGGAGTGGGATATTTTTTAAAGCGGCACTTCAGTTCTTCCACGGCCGGCACACCGCGCGCGCAGGCCCCAGTTCGACCCCCTTTTGGCTTAGCGCATCCCGTCAGTAGCAACAGCCTCGCGTTCCCCTTGCCTGGGCTGCTTCCTGATCTGGCCCGTGCTCATAGTGGAAGCTCAAGGCAACTGGGGATTACGGAACCTCTGCATGTTGCCAGCCAGGCCAGCTTCCCGCGTCAACCTCCCATCACTCAACGTACACGATCACCACTACCGTCATTGAAGCCGCCGAAACCTTGCAGTATCCTCTTTGACTGCCTGCGCATTCCTATCTTTCTTTCGAACAAAACATTGACAGAGCCAAGCCGGCGTTTCGGTGCCGCATCTTCAGCTTTCGCGATGGTACGTCCCTCGAGAAGTCCCCAAGCGACAAACCCACAGTCGCTAACCGGACCAGCCTTCCGCCACCGGCCAGAGCTGGGAGAAGTACCAGAAGAACTTCGCCGATGACGAAGCCAAAGAGAAGAAGATCACACCCCTCACCGATGAGTCAGTCGACACCAGTCTACCCCCGCGGCCCGTCTCTACTTGCCACTGACACATTGTCGACAGAGATATCCAGGTTCTGAAAACCTACGGCGCTGCGCCGTACGGTGCCGCTATCAAGAAATTGGAGCAGCAGATCAAGGAGAAGCAAGCGAGTGTAGATGAGAAGATCGGTGTCAAGGTTGGTGGCTGTTCAGGACACTTCCCGACTCACGACTAATCACATCAACCAGGAATCTGATACTGGTCTTGCACCACCGCACCTTTGGGACGTCGCCGCCGATCGTCAACGAATGTCGGAAGAACAACCACTGCAAGTGGCACGCTGCACGAAGATCATTTTGGACGAAAAGGACGACTCCAAAAGCAAATACGTCATCAATGTCAAGCAGATCGCCAAGTTCGTTGTACAACTCGGCGAGCGCGTCAGCCCTACAGATATCGAGGAGGGCATGCGGGTTGGAGTCGACAGGAACAAATACCAAATCCTGCTCCCTCTGCCGCCCAAGATCGATGCTAGCGTCACCATGATGACGGTCGAAGAGAAGCCCGATGTCACATATGGTGACGTTGGTGGCTGCAAGGAGCAAGTCGAGAAGCTACGCGAGGTCGTCGAGATGCCTCTGCTATCGCCGGAACGATTTGTCAACCTGGGCATCGACCCTCCGAAGGGTGCCCTTCTCTACGGACCTCCTGGAACCGGAAAGACCCTCTGCGCCCGAGCTGTCGCGAATCGAACAGACGCCACCTTTATCCGCGTCATTGGTAGTGAGTTGGTTCAGAAGTATGTCGGTGAAGGCGCGAGGATGGTCCGCGAGCTGTTCGAAATGGCGCGGACGAAGAAGGCCTGTATCATCTTCTTCGACGAAATCGATGCTGTGGGTGGTGCCCGTTTCGACGATGGCGCTGGAGGCGACAACGAAGTGCAGAGGACAATGCTGGAACTGATCACGCAACTGGACGGTTTCGATGCCCGCGGCAACATCAAGGTCATGTTTGCCACCAACAGGCCTTCGACCCTGGATCCCGCCCTCATGCGACCTGGCCGTATTGATCGTAAGATCGAGTTCTCTCTGCCCGATCTCGAGGGCCGTGCCAACATTCTGCGTATCCACGCCAAGAGCATGTCCGTCGAACGTGATATTCGATGGGAGCTAATTTCGCGCCTGTGTCCCAACGCGACCGGTGCCGAGCTTCGCAGTGTGTGTACCGAGGCGGGCATGTTCGCCATTCGCGCCAGGAGAAAGGTTGCGACCGAGAAGGACTTCCTCAGTGCAGTGGAGAAGGTCATCAAGGGCAACCTGAAGTTCAACTCGACTGCCAGCTACATGCAGTACAACTAAGTGCGGAGGGGTTGCAGGGCGTGTATTCAAGCTGTAATTGTAGACACGGAATCGGCCGGCTTTTAGAGAGGCGTGACGTCGAAACCCCTTGATGCGGGATGAATAAATCGTGCTGAGAATCATTACCGCTAGACATGAATGATCAGGAGTCTAGTACCACAATCAAAGTGCCGGGCTTGCAAACCTTAGCGTATGGATTAAACCTCTGCTCTGAGATGTTGGCCGTGATGCGGAAACTGGTTACGATAATGAGAGTCGAACCCGAGAGGTGCGTCCCAGTGTCAGATATTATCTATCTACTTCCTTCTTAAAAATGCCCCTGGATTCCTGTAACGCCATAGTGAAAATTGTGTGTGCAGCGTAGCATCTGAGCCCTTCGTCCTATGTCCTCCGCCCAGTGCAGTCGTTCGACATGGACATCCTTCCCATGCAGTGTGAAAAGCAAACGCCCGTGGTATCATGAATCGTCGCGTGATGGCCCATTTGTGACCCATCTCCTCCTCAAATATTCCTTGTCGTCTCAGACACTGCAAATCAGATTACATCTGAGAGAGGCAGCCCAGACAGACCACATCCCCCTCTTGCCCACGTTCGATGCAGCATTTACTGCAGACAACCTGCTGGTGGCCCATGGAGCTCCAGCCGTCTCCTGCCCGTCTTGACCCCACCGCAGACCGCTCGCCTTGCGTCTCAGCCTGCCCGAGATCAACCTGGTGTCCTGCGGCAGCACCGTCGGCGTCCTCCATGTGGAAAGACCGCGAGAGAGTCTCCTCGTAGTCTCGGCTCTCAATATCACACAGCCGCTCGCCCTGCTGCGTCTCGGGCATCCAGCCCTTGCACTGACGCAGGCACACGAAGCACGTACGGGCCTTGCAGCCGTGGCACTCGGCGAACGAGTCGAGGTCAGACTTCTTCGTCGGCCGGCGGTGGCACACGTGACAAGGGGCGAGCGCGGCGCTGGATGTGAGACGGTGGGCGGCTGGCGGGCGAGAGGCGGCTGTGCCTGAGGGCGAGCGGCTGTGTTTCCGGGCCCGGTGGTGGCCATCAGGGTTGTACGTCGCATTGTCGTCCTCAGCCTCCAAAAAACGCTGGCGCTTTATGGGCATGATCTTCCTCGCCAGACTGTCGTAGGCGTCCAGCGGGAGGGCAGCATCGTGATGCTGGAGGAGTTTTCCAAAGTCGGCAAAGGCATATTGCTGCTGGATATGGTGCTGGGCTTGTCTGTCGAGAGGGGTTTGTGTCAGTTGCTGTTCTGCAGAGACGCCGGAGGGGGTAGGTTGTTATTTACTCATAAATGGCACCTTGGAGGCTGTCTATATCGTTGTCTCGTCTGCGCTTCTTACCGGCAGACAAGACTCGGTGGTGTTCCTCGGCGACAGACGGCATTTTGCGAAAGAATGTGTGAGCGTGGGTGGTCGAGGTTGGCTTGCTGTGGCAGAAGCTGTCGAGAGCAAACAGTCCAGGCGCCGAAGAGAGCGCAAAGCTATCGGTCGGCGGCGATTCAGCTGGAGCAGGTGGAGCAAGTCGAAGGCACCAGCGGGTCCTTATCGGGGCGTTCGCTCAGCGGGAATCTGAAAGATCGAGGTCGAAGACCAGAGGGCAAGAGATGCAAAGACTGAAATGAGAGAGGAGTTGCTGTGAACTCGAGTGCATCGACGAAGCAGGATGTTGTCGTTTGGTATGAGACAACAGGGCGACCCATGTCGGGTCGTTCCGTGGAACACATCGGGTAATTGGAGCAGCGAATGGCCAGGCGCGCTCAGCGCGGCATCCTGATTAGGTATGCAGTTGCCGCCGGTATTCGCAGGATGTCTATTCTTCCGTGTCCGAACTTCGTGTATTTACTGGTTCTCGTAATCCGCACTTGACGGCTTCGACATACATATCAAATGGCAGAGTCTTGATTTGTTTACTGCCTCGTTCAATCTTGTTTCCTTGGGCATCGCCATTCTGCTCCCAAACTACAAACTTGCACATTGCGGTGCGCTGGCCTTTCCCAAGGCCTCTACGGATCCTGGGTTTACTCGTCAAAACATGTGACTGGCAGGTGCAAATGGTTGATTGCAGCCATCATAGCGACATCATAGAGGGTGAAACAAGCTAGGTTAGGTATTGAGAAAAGGGTCATCTGATTTACACTCTATCGCTCTCCTTGCTCTCAACGACGAATCTCGTTCCGCCTTGTCTCTGCCGCCTCCACCAGACAAAGGAGCTTGATTTTAAGAGCCTAGTACAACATACACAGAGACAACCAAAGGTGCTCCCATTAACGGCGAACATCAGTCTGCTTGGGAGGCTGGTAGACGAGCTTCCTGCTCTTGAGCCAGGCGAACTTGTACTTCTTGACCCAGACGCTGAGGGCCCAGAGGGTGGAAGAAACAATGAGGACCTTCATGCCCATCTTCTTGCGGTCGTCCATCTCAGGCTCGGCGGCCCAGTTGAGGAACTCGACGACATCCTTGGCCATCTGCGAGGTGGTGGCAGGGGTCTCGTCCTCGTACTCGACAAGGTCCTCGAAGAGAACACGAGCCATTGCGATGCCGGTACCGGGGAAGTAAGGGTTGAAGTTCATGCCGGGGGCGACCTGGGCGCCCGCAGGGGGCTCGTCGGGGTAACCAGTGAGAAGGTTGAAGATGTAGTTGCAGCCGCCGTGGCGAGCCTTGACGATGAGGGACAGATCGGGGGGCAGAGCACCGTTGTTGGCCGCACGGGCAGCCTCGTCGTTCTTGTAGGGGGAAGGAAGGTAGTCGGAAAGCTTGCCGGGGCGCATCTCAATCTCGCCCTCATCGTTGGGCTCGCCGGGGTATTCGTTCTCCTCAGCCAGGGCCTTGGCCTCGTCGACGGTCAAGACGGAACCGACGAGGGATCGGTAAGGGATACGAGCGAGGGAGTGGCAAGAAGCGCAGACCTCGCGGTAGACCTGGAAACCACGGCGGAGGCTGGCGAATTGTTAGGGACGGCGGAAGGACCATTTCGCATACGGGGGCCATTGACTTACGCCTGGTGGTCGAAGGTGCTGAACCACTGCTCGTGGACCCAGGGGTACTTGGTAGGGTGAAGACTGAAGGCGCCGTTAGTGAAGAGCTCACATCGATCGATACTGTGAAGACTTGGATCGCCTCATAATTCATATGCCGCATTCCCCATCAACGTGTTGTGAAGCCTGCATCTCCCTTGACGCGAAATAAATTGTAAGAGATTCAGCACTTACCCTTCCTCGGCAGCGGTCATGGCGTGAGCGGTAGGACCGTAGAGGTGGTAGTACCAGGCCATGGAGCCAGCGGCAACGGCGGTCGAAGCGATGGCGGCGATGTTCAGAGAAGCAGGGGCAGCCTCGGCAGCACCGCTGGACGATGACGCCGCACGCTGTTGATGGACAAGTCAGCATCTTCTCGACTCTAGAATCGTTTCTCCCCAGCCCAGGCCCAATTGATGGATGCCTCCCCGTAGGCCGGCCATGTCGTGTGATGAATGAATGCCTCGGGAAACCGGAAATCGTGATCAGGTCATACCTTGGCGATGGTGATGGGTGCATTTCGGAGCGCGCGCGTCGAGCGCAGGCAGGACCTTGCCAACATGATGGGCGAGCTGTATCCTCAGCCGTTGAGACAGCCGCTATCGGTATCGAGGGGCAATTGGTTGTTGGTCGCTGGAGACTTGACGTCGAAAAGTCTACCGATTCAAGGTCGACGAAAATCGCTTGAGAGAGATGAGGCAGTTTCCGAAATGGCCCGATGCTCATTGGCTGTTGGCTAGTCAGCAGGAGACCACGTGATTGTACGGCTCATCAGTGGAGCGCCACTCACTCTTCACCTCGGTCACGGGAGCTTCTATGCCATTAAGGGGGCAGTGTTGCATTCAGTTATAGGTTATTTGTTATAGAGAGAGTATCGATTTAGCCGCCTTGGACATCCAGACCGCCAATCAGACTGAATGTCACAGATCCTTCGGCAGATTCATTCCCGACATCAGACGCTGTTATTCTGGCATTGTGCCAAGAGCTGGTAGTTGACAGGATATGGGCATTTAACTCTAGCGGGACTGGCATCAGGGTTTTGGTTTAGGGCGTTGGACATAAATCTATTGTTCAACTTTATGCCTTCCTCCTGAAGGATCATCATCAGACCCTGAAAACGGTTCATGGTTTCTCTGACTGCAATCAATGTGTTCGTTTCCTCGCGAGCAGCGTCTTGGGATACGGTGAACCACAGGTCAGCAAGGTACTCTAATTTGAGGTTTTAACCTTGTTATCTACTACGTTCCCAATGTCGCGTTACAAAGTTTAGACTGCAAAGATCTCTCCAGGTGCACGTCAGAAGGCTGTACTCTTGAGGCCGATCCGTTCCAAGTCCCGACAGCTATGCAACGTCCACGATCTGGAGCGTATTCCGCAAAGGCTTGGCGCACAATCTCTTGAGCAAGAGCTTTCCGAGCGAAGCATAGTAGACCTGCGCTCTATGCTATTGGAGATGATTCATAGTGTACCTGATGGTTTGTTCACAATATGCATGGGCGGGAAGAACCTTTAAGCCGCAGTTCGGGTCCCAGGCCCCATCGGCGCCAGATAGCGAATTTGACTTTGGCAGAGGCAACCTTCCATGATGTCAGTCTTGCACGTGCCCTATGAACATCATCTATGATGCCGCCGAAAGGCATGCTGCAGTGCTGAAAGGCCACGAATGCTTTGAACGGTTGGGCCACGAGCCACCCTTAGAAAACTAAGAGTAAATATATAAACCGCTGAGTACCTCAAATTTTGCCTTCTCTCCGAGATTAGTGTCTATTTGTCCCTAGAGATTTCATAGCCGGAAGGGAATGATAAATGCATCAGCGCAACGATATGGTCAAGTATGGACGACGAAGACACACGATATGGCTATCACGAGGACAGCCCGGAAACGGAAGACAGTGCAGTTTTCGGCGTGGAGGAAGACAAAGTGACAACGATACACTGCAAGTCGTGGCCAGACATATATGGCTTCGTCGGCTTCACTCTGGTCACGTTGACCTGGGAGCTCCTGGAGAACATCCTTTTATTCGTCGATGAGAAAACCCTTCTTCTCGCGCAGAGGGTCAACAAGTACTGGCGATCGGTGATTCAAGGGTCACCGAGTCTCCGCCGTAGACTCTTCTTCGAGCCGAGCCGGCCAAGGACATGGTCCAACATCCACCCAAACCCCCTCCTCGGGCTTGTCTTTCATGACTGGCGGGTCGAGGTGCAGCACCAGATGACGCACCTGCGTCACACGAGCAGGCAGATGCAGTCCAAGGTCCTCGCATCGTGGCACATCATCGCCATCCGCTGGGAGGGTTTTCGAGAGAACCACGACCACGAGACAGGAGGCCTCACATCCTCGTGCCTGTCGTCATCCCAAGACGCCATGGACCTCTGGGACCCGCCGTGGCCAGACGGACCGGTGGGTCGCAAGGACGCGAGCTGGCGCCGTATGCTCGCCTGCCAGCCGAGTTCCCTGCCGCAGCTCCTGCACCCACACACCGAGGTTCTCGCACACAACGACCCCTGGAAGCCCCTGATCCGCCACTGGCCGCTGCTGACCGAATTTTTGGGCTGCGACCGGGGCCCGTGGCCGGCCGCGCAGTTCACCGCCATGGCGCCGTTTCTCAACGCCGAGTCCTTGGCGCACAACGCGGCGAGGCTACTGCACGGCACCGACGGGCGCGAGACGGCACAGCTGCGCCTCTCATGGGGGCCGATCACGGTGACGGCGCCGCCGGTGGAGAGAGACTGGTTCATGTTCCGGCCGGGCGCGCCGGCGGCGCGAATGGTGTCGACAGGTGCGCGTTCGGGGGGTTTGGTGCTGCGCGAGGGTGAAGACGTGGTGTTCAGTTGGTTGGAAGGTTTCGTGGCGGAGAAGATGACGTATCGTGTATTGGATCTGGCGTCGCAGATGGTATGGGCCGTTACGTACTGGCACCACGGGGAATACCTTGCCTGGCGGTCTGCTCCGATGGGACGGGCCAAGGGATCGGGGCTCGGGCGGATAGGAGACGGGAGAAGCAGGTAGTCCTGTGTTGAAGGATCTATCAGAAGGCAGAGGACTGTTCGTCACGACAGTGACTCTGGGTACGGAGTCCTATCAACGAAACCACGCAGCGAAAATGATAAAAGGGATGGGCAGGGGGGGTTAGCAAATGGTTATGCTTTCCGAACTGTGGAATATCGCATCGAAGGCGATGGTATATTCACAAATTTCCCTGATAACCGCTTCATTTAAACATCAAATCCACATCCAATTTTTTTTTTGGTTTCCGACCTGCCACATACCAAGCCTAAGCCTTCGTCTGAATGATCTCGCGTCTCTGCTTGACAGCATTCGCAAGAGTATCGAGAACAGAGACAGTATCGTCCCAGTGAATACAAGCATCCGTGATACTGACACCGTACTTCAGGCCGGCCTTGCCCTCCTTGGGGACCTTCTGGTTGCCTGCCGAGTGTTAGCGTAGGTTCCTGGTGTAAAAGCGTAAAATCATGTCAAAGGAGCGACGTACCCTCGTTGATGTTGCTCTCAATCATAACACCCATGATGGCCGTCTCGCCCTTGGAGATCTGCTCGGCGAGATCCGCGGCGACCTTGGGTTGATTCTTGTGGTTCTTCAGCGAGTTGCCGTGGCTGCAGTCAACCATCAGCCTCTGCGGCAGGTTGGACTTCTCCAGGGCCGCCTTGGCCTCGGCGATGCTCTTGGCATCGTAGTTGGTGCCCCTGGTTCCGCCCCTGAGGATGACGAAGCAGTCCTCGTTGCCGACCGTGCCGACAATGGCCACGACGCCGGGCTTGGTGACCGAGAGGAAGTGATGAGGGTGGCGGACGGCGCCAATGGCATCAATCGCCACGCCCAGGGACCCGTCCGTACCATTCTTGAAACCGACGGGGAAGCTGAGACCGCTGGCCAGCTCACGGTGCAGCTGGCTCTCTGTTGTCCTGGCGCCGACAGCACCGACGGAGAGGAGATCAGCGAGGTACTGGGGAGAGATAGTGTCGAGCATCTCGCTGGCAATGGGCATGCCCTTGTCAGTCAGGTCGATGAAGAGCTGTCTTGAGAGCTTGAGGCCCTTATTGATCTTGAAGCTGTTGTCGATATCGGGATCGTTGATGAGACCCTTCCAACCGACGGTCGTGCGAGGCTTTTCGAGGTAGGAGCGCATGACGATGCACAGCTCGTCCTTGTGCTGCTCCTTGGCCTTCATGAGCATATCGCAGTACTCGAGAGCGGCATCGGGATCGTGGATGGAGCAGGGGCCAATGATGACCAGTAGACGCTTCTTCTCGTCGGTGTCATTGACAATGGCCACAGCCTCCTCACGGCCTGTCAGGACCGTCTGCTTGGAGTTGGCTGTCTGCGCGATCTCGTGCTGGAGGAGATCGGGGGAGGTCAGAGGGTTGTAGCCACGGACTGGGTGCAACGGGTATTAGCCAAAGACGACTCCGAAACTGAAATTCGCCAACACTTACTCCTCCAATCCTCGCTGTCGGCCTTGTTGCCGACATTCTTGTTCTCAATGAAGAAGCTCTATTGTTGAGTCAGAGTCGTGGCATCCTATTGTGGAAGTGGCGTGGCGCGGGGCAGGAAAGGATGTGAGGTCAGCTTGTGACTTACAGACATGGTGGGCGGTGAAGAGGGAAAGGTAGGGAGGTAAAAGGGATGGCAAATGGGGTATCACAGATGAACAAAAAAGAGCTGCCAGGGGACCGTAACAATTGCTTCCTTGGGCTGAAATGGTACGAGAAGGGTTGAGTGGAAGAAATATTAAAGACGAATGGCGCGAGTCACCTTGGGATGAGTCTTTGGGGTTGATGACCCAGCTGCTGCTGAAAGTCTGGAGGGGCAGCGCACCCATGCTAGCAGCTCCAGCTTCGGGGCTCCAGTGACGAAAGAAACCCCGCCGTAAAAAGTTGATGTTAGTCACCCTGTGCTCTCTGCCCCTTGCTGATCTGCCCAGGAGCCTAGGTACCTAGGTACCTAGGAACCTTAGGGCCCCCAGTACCCAGGACCCAGGGCCTAGAGCCCCGGGCTTTGATGCGCGCCGCCCGGTAACGGTGGAGGCGCGAATGGCGTATGCCATTTTCTTGCATCGATGCAGACGCATGACTTGCCACTCCTGCCCCTGATGTCGTCGGTTGGGTCATTCTGTGTCGAAATAGGAAGACTGAGGAGACCGACGAGATTGGCTGCTACCATGTACATCCTCCCTCCCAGCTGTCAACCCACCCTTGTTCCATGCATGGCGGGCCGACCGTCGGCGACGCCCCCCCCCCCCTCCCACGTCGGGTACCCTAGTTATGACTCAACCCAACAGTCCGACACAAAGCACAATACACACAAAACGGCACACGATCAGGAGGACAACGAGGCGTCAAGACAAAAGCGTCTGGCTCATCAACATGGTGGTACTTCTCGGAAGCCCTTTTCGGTTATTGTGTTTTTGTCTTTCTTCATCCAGACGGCATCGGATTAGAGTCTAAGAAAGCAGGCAATGGTAAGGTCTACCCCTCCTCAATGCTTCTTCGCCCCCTACCACTCCTCAACCGTCGGTCCCAGAAGGGAAACCCTGCCGTCTCCCCTCCAAGAAAAAAGTCTTGTGCGCAGCAATTGCGTTTGCCTAAAACATGTGACTCGCAAAAATAAAACGAGGTCTTTCAGTCCGCACTCCGTAGACACCTGACCACCCATTGCCCGGCCATGACCGTGGCGTACAGAAAGTGAAGCGACCAGCCAACCTTTACTCGGCGGCCTTGGGGGCCTCCTCGGTGCTCGCGGCCGCGGCCGGTGCCTCGGTCGCCTCGGGAGCGGCCTCCTTAGGCGCGGCGCTCTCACCGGATCCGGTCTGGGCGGGCTCGGCCTCCGACGAGGTCCACAGGGTCTGATATCGCGTAAGCACATGCGCGTCGCCTCACGCAGCAACACCGGAGTACATACCAAGTTGTCACGCAGCAGCTGCATGATCAGGGTCGAGTCCTTGTAGGACTCCTCGCTCAGGGTGTCGAGCTCAGCAATGGCATCGTCAAAGGCCTGCTTGGCCAGGTGGCAAGCCTGGTCAGGGGCGTTGAGAATCTCGTAGTAAAAGACGGAGAAGTTGAGGGCGAGACCAAGACGGATGGGGTGAGTAGGAGGAAGCTCGGTCTGGGCGACCTCAGTGGCAGCCTTGTAGGCCTCGAGCGACTTGTCAGCAGAATCCTTGCGGCGGTCGCCAATGGCGAATTCGGCCAGGTAACGGTGGTAGTCGCCCTTCCTGTTATCGTGTGCGTCAGCAAGCGATGTAACGTGATTGGCGGGTTACAGCAAAGACATACATCTTGTGGTAGAAGACCTTGGACTCTCCAGACTTGGCAGAGGGGATCAGGTGCTTGTCGAGGACCTCAAGGATATCTTCGCAGATCTTGGCGAGCTCGGCCTCAATCTTCTGGCGGTACTCCTTGATGAGGCCAACCTGGGATGAGTTGCCCTTGGACTCCTCCTTCTGCTCAATGGAAGTAACGATCCTCCAAGAGGCACGGCGGGCGCCAATGACGTTCTTGTAGGCGACAGAGAGGAGGTTGCGCTCCTCAACAGTCAGATCGCGGTCCTCACCGGCGACAATCTTCATGTTCTCAACCATCTCTGAAAGCCTCGGTGATTAGTTCAACGAATCATTAGCCGGCATAAATCGGCAGGGACATACCCTCGTAACGCTCAGCCTGCTCGGCGAGCTTGGCCAGGTAAACGGCATCTTCTTGGCCCATGGTGACGGTTTTTGGTGGTTTCTGTATCGGAAGCGCGCGTTAGTCAGAATGTTGCGGTGACGGCGTGAGCAACGGAACGCCAGGTAGGGCAGTGTGCGCGAAAAGGGGCAGGCATCGACAGGTTGGTTGAAAGTGAGGCTAGGGCCAGGCAAGGTGCTTTTAATGTCTGAGGCCTCGTGGAAAGTATCCCCTCGCTTTGACAGCCCGCAAAAGGCGGATTGCGACTCGCTCACTTCACCACCCGGACCAGGCGATTGCTTCCCCCCCGCTTCGAGTGGGGTTTCCGCGCCAGACGTCGCGAGGTACAGGCCGGCGAAGGAGCAAGAGGCTATGCACCGATGGTGGAAAGCAAGGAGAGCAGAGATCGATTGCTCAACCGATGGGAGTTTGATGACCACATCGCAGAGAGGCCATTTCGCTGGGATCGTGGAAGGGCGGAAGGGGGGATGCGATGACGACAGAGGGGGCGTCGGCGGCATGGAAGCGGACGGCGACTTTGGAAGATGTGGGATTGGGACTAGGACTGGAACGAACCTGTTGTAAAGTGAAGGATTGTGTTTTCGTGATGAACGAGGACAGTGATGTATTGTCCGTGTCGAGTTGGGGCTATTCTGGTGCAAAGGTGGGGAGGATGCAGAAGGGAAAATGGAGGAAGTGTTGTTGTTGGTTTGGTAGTGAAAGGGAGCAGGTTGCGTTACGTTGGGTCGGGTTCCAGGTTGGCGAGCGGCCGATGAGACTGGTCGAAAAGCTGAGGTGATGGAAATTGGAGGAACTCGGCCGGCTCTGGGCTCTGGGGCTCTGGCGCAAGGGGGAGCAGGGGGGGGGGGGGGCCAAAAGAGGGGGGGGGGAACACGCGGAGCCCACTACAGGGGGCCCGACAGGGGCGAGAAAAACGAGGGATGTCCCCATCCCGTTGCTGCCTCAATCCCGTTGCTGCTCAGGGTTGGAGCAAGGCGTGCCAGGTGCCCTGGATGTTTTGGTCGACGTACCTAACCCTGGAAGGGGAACGGCTGCCTCACTGGACTCACGTGAAGCTCGAGGGAAGGGGGTCCCTGTCACGTACCTCTTTCCGTAGGATGCACTGGAATCTAGAGGGGAGAGGCGTACATGGTACTGAGGAGCACTTTCCTTTTGTTGTTCCTCTGATGCATCGACGTCACTTTAATATCAGGCTGGCTGCTCAGGCTCAGGCAGCCCGCTGGGACTCTCTGACGCTCACCGAAGCACCTCGTCCATCAATTCATGCCTGCCTGTCTTTCTTCTCCTTGAAACGGCACGATTGCAGCGCCTAAATACTGAGGGTTCGGTTTCATGCATGCATGTCATCCTTCAGTGATAGGTGCCTCTAGATCGAACATCAGCACCGGCGGTTGTTGGGGTCTCGCACTCTTTCCCATCACGAAATATACCTTGGCTCAACCCCGTGACGAAGCGGCAATAAAGTGTTCTTTTTCTTTCATCTGGACGCGCCATTGGGCTTAGCACACTTCTGAAACAGTTTATCAACGGCTTTGCCTGGTGTTGAGCCGTTGAGCGTCGATTGCCTCTTGCTCTTCCCCCATCGACGCCTCAGCTCAGACAGTGACCCATCCATTAGCGTCGTGTCGCGCACTGATCTGTCTCGTGAACAGTGGGCTTCCTCGTAGACGGGCAAACAACGCTGGCGGAGGATCTTCGACATGAGACCAGGCACAAAATGTTCCTTCGTGCATTTGGCATCTTGAGCAGGATATGCACCAGATCTCTCAGACAGAGATGGAGTCATCCTGTGCTACCTGTACAGCAACGCCAAATGGGAACTGTCAAATGACGGGTGTGATTCTGGACTAATTGAACAGCTGGCTATGCAGTGCAATCAATGGGTGTGGGACACACAGAATGGCTCGAGGCCACCGTCAGCATTGACTCATTGTCACGGCATCAATCGTGAGGCATCAGACCGTCATGAGGCTTCAGGCTTTTGTTCGTCACTCCACAAGCTTGTGAATTGTCGAAGCCGGTATCGTGTCTAGTAGACAGACCTGTCGATATTGTCCACATGACAAAGACGGCGGGGAGCATCGAGGCCACGGGCGAGAAACACCTCGAGTCAAAGCCTCAATTGCATGCAACAATTGCCTGACGACCGCAAAACCCCACCGCATTCCAGCAGTCATGGGGCTTCCGTTGAGAGCATCTCCACTAATGGTGCCCTGTAGAATCCCGTGGACGTGTCGTGCCCACTACTGATGATCCCCCGGAATTGGAGGGCAGCACACGCCCAGCCCAGCCCGGAGTGACGACGAAGGTGGTCTGATGCTTCGAGAGCCCTGTTCCCCGAACCCGAGAAATACCGCCCCTGCGCGCTAGGAAGGTACTTGCGAGCCCACCCAAAAACCACCAAAGTCGAGGTACGTCATTATCGCAAGCTGTGGTCTGCCCCAAGCTCCCACCTGGCAGCCTACCCCTGCATCCAATGGGCTTTAAAGCAACTGAATCCGGCCGGCTACCCTCACTGACGACACCGCGATCAGCTCCCCCCAAACCACCCACCCACCTTTGCTCTTCTACAACCAACCATCCTCTCCAAACAGACCAATCGACCATTGTCTCTTCGTGGCAAATACCCTTCAAGAACTCCAATCCCCCCCTTCGCCCATCTCTTCCCAAATCCACATCCATCACCATGCTTCGAACCGTCACCTCCAAGGCCATCCGCGCCCCTCTGTCCCTCGCCTCCCGAGCCACATTCACCACCACCGCTCGCGCCATGGCTGACGGCGATCTCGGTTCCGTCCGCAGCACCGGCGGCCAAGGGTACGTTTCGTGAAAGCAGCGCTGTGAACCTCCGCCTCGCTGCTAAACACGCGCCTCTCCGAACCACCTGCACCATCCTACGAATCCAATCCCGCTAACACGCCATCGACAGTGACGCTTTCCAGCAGCGCGAGAAGGCTGCTGAGGATTACGCCATCCGCCAGCGTGAGAAGGAGAAGCTCCTGGAGATGAAGCAGAAGATCAAGGAGCAGCAGGCCCACCTGCAGCAGCTCGCTGACCACATGTTCGTGCCCAAGAAATGACACAAACCTTCCCATCTCCAATTCTCCCTCTCGTCGACGACGGATGTTGTTTGACAGACCTTGCTGACCTTGGCTTTTTTTTCCCTTTGTACAGTGACGACATCACCAAGGACCAGGGCGGCGAGAAGAACTAGGAACATTGACATCGATCAACACGCACTTTACTCGGCAACCATGTTGGTGATGTGGAGACAGTAGCGCTGTTATTAAGTCGGCGGACGACGCGGAGGACGACATGAATTGAATTCTTGGCTCGGGGGCGTTAAACGCTTGTGAAAGCTCAAACGTGTAGCGGCCCTTGACCGCATGGAAACAAACACAGATTGCGTCCACTTTTGGTATTACCAACTGTCCAGCTAGTTGTACATGTACAAATGATAATGCAGAAGCAAAAGCATCTCCAATCGCGGCGCTCACCACCCCCCTCGATGCGTTCGGAAGGGCGGGAGTTCGACGCGACTGATCTCGAGTGTCGTGTGCCTTTCCCCCTTTCATACCTTGCTCCCTCCGATTCCCGATTCCTAGCCCTGCGCTCACATGCATACTATCTGTCGCCCACTCCTCTCCATTGCGTCACCCTCTACCGTCGGGCCACGTAGGAGCGGTAGAAGCTCTCCGCTGCGTCGGTTTCTGTAGCGCCGTACTGGCTGCCTAGGTTGTTGCCCGTCTTCTGCGCAGCCGACACCTCGGCCTGCAACGCTGCCGCGTTCTGGTCGATCCACTGGAGCTGTGTGAGGTGTCCGTTGAGGACGCGGACAATCTGGCTGAGCTGTAAACTCGTTAGCTAGCTGACTCAAGGCGATAGTGGCCACGACGGCATGACGTACAGGGTCTTCGGGCTTGGTGCCCTTGCTCATGGTGCCCGAGATCTCGTTGATCTCCTTGACCATCTTGGAGAGATCGCGGCTCTTTTCGTCGAGGTGCTGCGTCAGCTTCTCGGCGAGCTTGTACGTGCGCTCTCTCTCCTGGTCCGGTCCAGCGAGGGTCTCGCCCTGGCCCATCTGGCGCGAGAACATCTCCTTGACCTCGCCTTCGTAGCGGTTGAGCCACTCCTCCAGCTCGTCCTGCTGGCTTTCGACCGACTGGAGCTGTCGCTCAATCTCATGACTCGCCTTTTCAGCTTCGAACGTGCTGAGGTACAGCTTCTGGATCTTCTCTCCGTTATTGACCAGGGTGAAGTCCCAGTCGGACACCTCGCCCGCGTAACCCTTGAACTCCTTCTGGTACTTGGAGAGGTCCGACGCCCAACGAGTGATGATGTCATCCATGGACTTGTTTTTCAGGCGTGGTAGTTGCGAAGTAGGTCCTGTCGTTGAGGCGCCGAGAGCATTGCCGGAAGACGCAGCGGGGGTTGTAGAGGTACCAGCAGCGGCGGTGGTGGTGGCGGCAGCAGCTGGCGCAGTCGAGGCTGCCGTCGCAGGCGCGGCTGTGGAAGCGGGCGTCGATGCAGCGGCACCGAAAAGGCCGCCGGCGGCCGGCTTAGCTTGGGCGGTGGACGATGTCTGGTTGCCGAAGAGACCTGACGATGCAGGAGCAGCCGTAGCGGGTGTAGCGGTAGACGAGGCCTCTGTGGTCTTCGCGCCGAACAGTCCACCTGAAGCAGCCGGAGCAGCAGATGTGGTCGCAGCACCACCACCGAAGAGACCACCTCCAGTCGACGTTGCTGGCGCAGACGTCGCGGGTGTGGTGGTCGCAGCAGGCTTGGCGCCGAACAAGCCTCCAGCGGCTGCTGCTGGGGCCGGCTGGGTAGCAGGAGTCGAGGACTGAGCTTGTGCTCCAAAGAGGCCCCCAGCAGAGGAAGCAGCTGGCGCAGCGGGCTTCTGTCCACCGAACAGGCCACTGGCACCACCAGACGAGGCGGCAGGCGTCGCTGCACCTCCGAAGAGTCCCGCTGCTCCAGCTGGCTTGGTGGCAGGTGCGGCCTGCGCAGCACCTCCAAAGAGGCCTCCTGAAGCAGCCGCAGGCTGGCTTGTTGCCGGTGGTTGGGTGCTAGCTTGGCTACCACCCGCAGCGCCGAAGAGACCTCCAGCTGCAGGCTTGGAATCGCCAGCCGGCGGTGCTCCGGCAGGTGTTGTGGATGGCTGAGAGAACAGGCTCTTGGCGGGAGTTGCTTGCGAGCCGAATGTACCAGCAGGTTGCTGCGCGTTTGTTGTGGGGGGCTTCAGGCCGCCGCCGCCGAAGAGACCACCAGCGGCAGGAGCAGGGCTCGGCGTGGAACCCTGCGTCTGTGCCTGGCTGGTATTTTGAGCTCCGAAGAGTCCACCGGCGGGAGCAGTGCTGGCTGTATTGGCTCCACCGAAAAGTCCTCCGGCCGGCTTCGCGGGTGCCGCCGCGACGCCACCTCCGCCAAAGAGTGACGAGCCACCAGTCGAAGGAGGAGCCGCGCTACCGCCGCCGAAAAGGCCTCCAGAAGCCGGAGCAGCTGTGCTAGGGGTCGTCGAGCCGGTGTTGCCGAATAGGCCGCCACCGCCAGAGGCAGGTGTTGTCGAGGTAGCGGGAGCGGCAGGTTTGCCAAACAGTCCTCCCGCGGCGGGCGCTGAGGCAGGGGTAGTAGATACTGCGCCAGCGTTGCCGAAGAGACCACCGGGCTTCTGCCCAGCATTTCCACCGAACAAACCACCGCCGGCAGCAGGAGTGTTTGCGCCTGAACCTGTGCCTGTGTTGCCGAAGGAGAAGCTAGGAGTTCCGCTGGCAGCTCCAAAGAGGCCGCCAGAGGCAGGCGCCGCTGTGGTTGGGTTGGCCTGGCCATTCGAAGTTGGCGTTGAGCTCGACTGTCCGAAACTGAAAGACATTGTGGATTACGGCTTATGTCGCTGCAATGGGGGAGTGAGAGAGGGTAGCGAGGTGCTGGGACGCGTCGCCAGCTAGCTTGGGCGCAAGCTTATAGAATGGGCGCGTCGGTTCTATCGCATCGAGTTGCAGGTCCTTGCACGAAGTTGTACTGAGGAATCGACCGCGTCAAATCGGAAGTAGGAAGCGTGTGGTGGTGCAATGGGCGCAGCTCGGGAGTCGCTATCAAGGGAAGAAGAGCTGGGGATTGTTGGTAGCTTTTTTTGGTTATGTTGCTATTGCAGGTCCCATTTCTGATTGCTCCAATCATGATCACGTGGGACAACCGTGCTTCTGTGTCGGAGCTCCACCCACCAACAACTTGGATGCAGCTCACTTCAGATTTCATCGGACATACCACTGAGCTTGCATGGGGTCTAGCTCCCATTCACTTGGATCACGCTTTTCTATGCCGCTGGTAGGCTGGCAAATACAACAGGAACGACGGGCAGACGCTTTTTGCCGGAAGGGACTTTCACCTCGCCTTTATGCTTACCAACATGTAACAGGCGACTAGACACTTTACAAGCACGCACATTACTTTGTTTAGGCACAGCAGCGTCTGGCGTTGGCTTCTATTGAGGAACTGTTTGCTTTTGAGCTCAGCGGCTGAAGCACGCGATTTAATGATTTTCATGGGCGCATGTATTCCATGAATATTGCGTACTAAGACAGCATTGCAGATAATCACTCGACACCTAGGATTCATTCGCATTATCATACTTAAATTATATCTAGATCAGCTTTGGAATATCGAGAGCCAGTTTTTGTCGTCTACTCAAGAAGTCCTGTCCGCAAAGATGACTGAGATGCTCGTGATCGGGGAGAAGGCTACCTCCTCAAACCACTGTGTTCCAGGCCCTGACGGGTATTAGAATAGGCCGGGTGCAGATTACTGGTCCATGCGTACACTCTGCTTGAAGTTTCCGATACCCGTAGAGCATGTACTAGATCTTCCACTCGTCAGACTCTGTGCCCTTTCAATCCCCTGGTTGTAAATACAGATCAATAATACCAACTAAGTGTTGGACGAGCGTATCCAAGTGCCATCCGGCGGCAGCTGGGCCTAACAACCCCATCCAAGGTGGGTGCCATCATGTGACGTGAGAGGGGCGTCGGCACTGTAGCGTCCTGCCCAGACAACGTTCAGTGCTCCTTCTTGGCGGTCGTGGTCCAGACCTGTGACGACGTGCATTCGATGTAGATACCCTAATAAGCTTCGAGGACCTGATTCTGGAACTTGACTGAAGCTCTCCACACCTATTTGCTGCAACATAGCCCGCTACCCAAAAGAAACAAACCTCTCCCTGCCAGCCTTACCAAATTGTTTGTCCCCCCGCTGCAAGCTGAAGCACCTTGAGCAACCAAGCGTCGCCTGAGCGGAGCCCAAGTCGGGACCCCTGTATCGCAGCACCCCAAAGCTTGAGCCCACACAGGGACCGCCAACCTGCTTCCCGCATCATCACGACCATCATGGCGGACCATACTAATCTCACTCCACCCAAGCGGACGGGAACGGCTGATCCAGGCGCCAAAGACCTGGGTATGCCCCGATGACCTCAAACCCCCGCTCCCTGCGTCAAGCGCTGACCCTGTCTCCAGCCGAGTCTTCTGACGACGATCACTTCTCCGACGCCCAGTCCGCGCCAGAGACTTCCCCCAAGTCGCCCATCCCGAAGACGAGGGTAGAGAAAGTTGACGACGAGCCGTCCTACGGCGAGGTGCCGGGAACAGAAGCGTACCGCAAGCGGGAGGAGGACGCCGAGCCTGATGAGATTGCCCTGGTCGAGGACAAGAAGCTGGAAGGCCTAGATGATGGCGCGCCCACTACTTCCGCCGGCGGGCAGCCAATCCCCCTGACTGTCGTCGAGGAGTCTTCGGGCACCACTGGAGAGCACTCTGAGGAGTTCCTGGAGAAGCGGAAGGCTGACGCCGATGCGGACGTGGTCGTGAAGCCGGATGGCCAGACTGAGGAATCCAACAGTACCGGTATGAATTGATGTAGTCGTTCTCCTTATGAAGAAATGAATCAATGATTGCTCACTCCTATACCGTAGACTCCCCCGTACCCGCGGATGACGTGTCTGCTCCCACAACACCGGCCGAAGAGCAAGCTGGTCCATCTTCACCCCCGCCCGGCTCGCCAGACACTGTGGTTCTGGACTCCCATGATGCGCCTGCGACAGATTCCGAATATTTGGTCCAAGCCACAGAGTCTACAGACGCAGCGCCGGAACAGCCAACATTGAAAGTGCCCCCACCGGAAGCAGAAGACGACGACGAGAATGACGACGACGACGACGAAGAAGAAGACGACGACGACGGCGGCGACGACGAAGATTTTGGGGATGATTTCGATGATTTCGAAGAAGGCGGAGAAGATGCCGATTTTGACGACTTTGAAGACGGCTTCCAGCAGGCTGAGACTCAAGTATCTCCAGAGCCAGCGGCGCATGTCCCTCCCCCAGCAGTGCCGCTGGCTACGTTACCTTTCGTAAGTTGCATCGTTTCAGTAGGGTGTACACGCGACTAACCTTGCCATGCAGCCTATACCTGATCTCGATGACCTTGACGGCGAAGACATGTCCGACGCTCTCGACAATTATCTCCACTCCCTGTTCCCCCCAGCTGAACTCGACCTCCCTACGCTGCCGCCGCTCTCCCGGGACAACAATGTGTTCCTTTCACAACGTAGCGCCTCTCTGTGGTCACAGCTTGTGGCGCCCCCTCCGGTGTCCCCCCCAGACTGGATCCGCTCGAGAATCCGCCGCCTCTTCCTCGTCTCTCTCGGCGTCCCCGTCGACCTCGACGAGATCCTGCCGGCCTCGAAGCAGAAGAAGCTTGTCCTCCCATCGCTGCACCGCAAGACCTCGAACGGCTCATTCCGCACCTCATCTGAATCACGCTCCGTCTCCCGCGTCCGCCAGTCCGAGGTCAACGCTTCGACAACCAGCCTCGATTCGAGCGGCAACGCCAAGCGCCCGACGAGCATGAGCCAGCGCAAGGGACCCCCGCCGACACCGGAGCTGGACCTCGTCGCCGGTCGGCAGCTAGCGACAACGACGGAGGAGGCTCTCAACGGCATGACGGACGACGAGCTGGAGGCGCACAACAAGAAGCTGGAGGCGTTGGAAAACGTGGCAAAAGAGGTACTGGAGCACTGGAAGAAGAAGACGGACGAGAAGATTGGGGACAGGGAGGCGTTTGAAGCTGTCATTGAGAATCTGGTCAAGCACGCGCAGAAGACAAGAAAATAGATTACGGTCCCGGAACCGCTGTCCCGGGAGGACATGTCGAGGGCCGGGCGAGGTATCTGGCGAGGACCTGTGGCGCCATGTTACGAGCCGAATAATATACCCATGCGTGCACTTCATCTCTCGGCAGCATTTGTGCGACTGATTGCTTCTGTTAGGCATGTTTTCTTCGGCCTGCCGTGGACGTATTCTACGTTGGCTCCATTATGCTGCATCATGCTTCATCACCACGGCTTGAGAGCGCAAGCTGGAGGCCTTTCTGGGCATAGGGGGCGATCCAACGCGATGTCTCGAGGCCTCGACCAGCATGCCTCCTGACATGAACACAGGAAAGCATTGCCTTGAGCCCGTCGCCGTGGTCAGGATCCAAAGCACCCACCTATATTCCCTAGTTGAGTCCGACAACCTGCTTTCATGAGGCAAGAACGCCCAAGGCATGTAAGCCTCATGACCGAAGTGCTCCTGAACACCGTGTCCCTCACATCACGAAGAACAAAATGTAACATCAGTCGAAACAGCATCGTCTGCACGGCCTATTTTTTCTAAGCCCATCTGCTATCTAAACCTCGATCCGTAACCGTAGTCATGGTCTCATGTCTCCCGTTTCCCCCATCGTCTGCTCATCAGCCTAAGACGTGCTGGGCTCAAGGGTAACACCGCTACACAAGGTACGTCAGTCTCAAATCACACAAAGCAGAAACCGCTTCAAATGAGTAGAAGGGGGGGGGGGCTCTTACGCAGCAATGGTGGCCCAGCCGATGAGACGCCAGTGCTTCTCGATACGCCTGGAAAGGGCGACCTTCTCGCCAATGTTGGTGCACGCCGGGCTCGTGAGGATCAGCTTGGCAGCGTCGTTGCGGATGGCGGCGACCTTTGCGCCAGTGGAGGTGGAGCCAATGTTGACCATGATGACCTCGTTCTTGGCCAGCTTGGCGACCTTGGCCTGCTTGCCGTCGGCGGTGCGGACACCGAGGAGGCGCTTGAGGAGGTAAAAGTTGATCTCGATCTCGCTGTAGATCTCGGGCAGGCGTCCCTTGAGGCCGAGGACGAAGCCGACCAGACGATCGGCACGGCAGAGGGTGGGGTCGATGCGAGTGCCGACGCCGATGAGGCCACCGGGGACGGCGTACTTGAGCTCGTTGAACTCGGAGTTGAGGGTCACAATGCGGCTGAAGATGGGCGTGCACTTGAGGGCGCCCTTCTCGTCGCGGGTGACGATGCCAGGGCGGATCTCGATCTCGTCGCCGAGCTTGAGCACGCCGTGCAGGATGGAGCCACCGGCGACACCACCCTTGAGCTCGTCAATCTCGGCACCGGGCTTGTTGACGTCGAAGGAGCGAATGACAATCATGTGGGGGTCCATGGTGAAGTCGCGCACGGGCACGGGGATCGTGTTGACGATGGACTCGAGGGCGGCGTCAATGTTGAACTTCAGCTGGGCGGAAATGGGGATGACGGGCGACTTTCCGGCCACAGTGCCACGGATGAACTTCAGGATGGACTGGTAGTGCTGCTGAGCGGCCTCGGGACGCATCAGGTCGACCTTGTTCTGGAGGATGATGATCTTGTCCAGCTTCATAATCTCAATGGCAGCAAGATGCTCGGACGTCTGGGGCTGGGGGCAGGTTTCGTTGCCGGCAATCAGCAGAAGAGCGGCGTCCATGACGGCGGCTCCTGACAACATGGTGCTCATGAGAATGTCGTGACCAGGGCAGTCGACAAAGCTGTATGCGTTCAAGTCGGGTTAGCATGATGATATCGTAGCGACATATGGGAGGTGTCACGCTTTGGGGTTTGGGAGGTGGAGGGGGGTTTCTCACGAGACGTGTCGCAGCAGCCTGTAGGTGCCCTCGCAACCCTCGCGCTCGCATGGCGGGTCAACCTCCTTCTCACTCTTGTAACTCCTGAAGCATCCGGGACGAGGGCACTCCTGGTTGTCGCACTGGTAGATCTTGGCGTTGGCGTAACCCAGCTTGATGGTGATGTTGCGGATCAGCTCGTTCTTGAAACGAACAGTTTGGACACCGGAGATGGCCTTGACGACGGTGGACTTTCCGTGAGCGACGTGACCGATGGTGCCAATGTTGATTGTCGCTTGCCGCGCGATGATCTCGGCTGTGAGGGGGTTCAGGGTCTTGACGTCGAGATCCTTGGGGTCGGTTTGAGGGGGCAGCGTCGGGCGCTGGACGGCAGGCGCCTCGGCGGTGACGGGGTTGGAGGACTTCTTGAGGGCGCTCTTAAGCTCCTGCTCATCCTCGCCGTGGTTGTCAATGTTGGACTCGCCAGAGTCGGACTCGGACTCGATGTCGTCGAACTTGGGGTCGTCGGAAGCCATGATTGCGGTTAGAGGTCGTTGCTTTGGCGGGGTTATCGGTTGGTTGGGAGGAGGAAGAGTGGTCGCGTGGTCGCGGGAGAAATTTGGCCGGGCAAGGTGGGTGTGATTTGCACGGGACGTTGTTGATGGACACCGAGAGGTCGGACTGGAGCACTTTTGCCGCAGTGGTTCTTCGTGGAGCTTGACGTGCCTTCGCTTTCCGAGTGATTTCGCCTCGTTTGGCACATCAAAATTCGTAGTTGTGCAGTCCTGAGTGTGACTCTGACGCTAGTCCTGATTGGGGCTGATAGGTCCGATAAGGATCGTTGCCCCTCACCGTGTGCTTCCCCGCGAGACCCACGACCTACGTGCTGCATTTGCTCGTCGTCTCACTGTATTCTTGGTCCATCCCCCTTGTAGGAGGGCCCTGCAACCGATACTGTTGTGAATAATTGAAAAAGAAAAGAAGGAAAAGAGGTTGACAGACTTTGCAGTCTCGTTATCTGCATCAATAGGAGATTCAATTCGCAGCACAGTTCTGGTATTCATTGATACAATATTCACAATTAATTCAGAGTGCTAGAGTACCCAACCTTCCCAGGCCAGCCCAGCAAATTCACCGTCGAGGAAACTCTTTCCATGATCCTCAACGCCGTGATGGTATATAGTGCGATGAAAAAAATCGTCTTAAAAGAAGGAGGGGGTATGCACCAGCAGACAAGCTGACGCAGACAAAGAAAATAAAACACAGTCATTCTATCGTCACCCATTTTCCATCATCTACCGACCGTACCCCTTAACTGGCGCATCGGCGTAAGCCCCTGGAATCGGAACAGCGTCGTACACGGGCTCGTCCGCTGCGCCCGAGGCATGTGCATGCTCGTTGTAGGTAGGCTGCGGCGGCGAAGGCGGGTGCGTGGGCAGAGCAGGGGCCGTTGTAGACGTCGGCGTGAAGCCACCGCCGCCAAGCTTGGGTGTTGCCGAAGGCGCCTTGACTGGCGGTGCCTGCAGCTTGAACGTGGACTGCTGCTGGCCCGCGAAGCTCGAGGCAGGCTCGACGAAGCGTGCTGCCGGCGTAAAGGTGGGTTGCGGCTGCTGCTCCTCAATGGCGGAGAGAGATGCAAACGTCTTCTCGGGATTGCGCGGTGAGAGGGCGTACTGCGAGTAGAGCCCAGGAGACTTAAGGCCAGGGGTGTTGGGAGCGGACTGGCTGCGAAGCTGGGCGAGGTAGAGGTCAGAGCGAGCCCTATCGCGCATGTCCATGGACTTGGTAAGGCGGCGCTTGGTGTAGTAACGATAGAACACGATGCTGTAGAGAGAAATGGCGATGATCTCAATGACGACCTCAATGATGATGCAGATGAGAACCCAGTTGTTCAGGCGGCAGACCAGAGCATAGTCGACCTTGTCTTGGTAGAGCTCAGCGCGTCTGTTCTCCTTGCAACTGCGACGGGTCAGTTTCGCACGCCAACGTCGAATATGATATGGGGAAAACGTACCTCCAACCCCACATGTCGCGACCAGCGCTCGAGCTCCGTTGGTGTTGGAAGATGCCAGCAGAAATGACCCACATGATCATCGAGACGATGAACCAGCCGAT